CTATGGGTTGGAACCGACTCAACGGCACTTAACAACAACAACAACAAATAAGAAAATAGGTTTTCTTTTGTATATGATTAACTGTATCACATTGAGAAATATTTTTCCTTGTGTATTAAAATATTTTAAAAACTCATTCATACTTTGATATAATAATCATTTAGTAAACCCTGGATTGCTGATCATCAAACCATTGAAAATATCAGTGCAATTTTAGTAGAAAGATGACTGGTGTTATTTACGTAAAGTTTTCTGCCTTTCATGCCTTTTAATTTTAACATATTCTTTAGTCCTTTAGTAAGGCTCAGTTCTCTCCCTTGCATCATAGTAATCATTTAATGGGCCTGATCTTCTGATTCCATGTATCTGTCTACTCTGGTTACTTTTATCTAGGACATTGCCTTTAAAGTTAATAATGAAGAACACACATTGAATTCACAAACAAGCCCGACAAATGAAATAGATCCAGATGGAATTGTATCCAAAGAAGAAAATGTACCTCAGACAAACACTGCAAACATGAAAGGGAGGAATTCCTTTGCACCTAAAGATTTTATGTTCCAGCCACTGGATGGTCTGAAGACCTATAAAGCAGCATCCCTGATTCCCAGAAGAGCCCATGCTTTCTCTATTCCTAGTTACACCTGGTCTCCTCTAACGGCAGAAGTGTAAGCATGTAATCTGAATTTCTTGCTATCGGGATAACAAGCTATTAATGACCTATTTTAGATTTGGTCTAAGCTATGTTGTTTATAAATAATTAAAATTTGTTTTAACACTAGAAATAAGTTTTTAGAAAGGAAAAAATGCTTTAGTATTGTAGCTTTTTCTTTTGAGGGGAGAGGGGCTGAGAATCATTTTAGAAAAGCTACTTCCAAAGACAAAAATTATTTATTTATTTTTTGGTCCTTCAAAGTGGGGGAAAATCAGTTGGGATCTTTAAAAGAAAAGGCAGTCTTTTCACAAAGGCTGCTTAGCACAGTTACTAGATACTGCTCAGCAGCTCGTAAAACTACTAATTGCTTATATGTTCCAGTAAGATATCTTCAAGATCTTTAAACCTAACCATAGATGTTCTTACTTTAAGTATCTGAATCTTTCCCCTCTCCAGCACAAAGATATTTTCAAAAAGTAAATAGGGACACATTGCTATTTTATTCTAGGTGTTAAAAAAGCAGCACAATTTTAAAGTGCCTCAATTAGCTATATGGGGTTCTATGTTTGATCAAGTGTTCCTTACTGCTGTTTTCAGTGACGAGACTGAAGAGATGACAAAAGAAATGGTGGCACAAAAATGTGAAACTCATTCTGCTGAGACAATGCGGCCAGACTCAAATACAGGGCAGTGTCACCCGAGTGCTCCACCTGTTTGTAAAGAAGGTATAGCATTTTAATGAGGATTTCATATGCTTTTCTAGATTGTGCTTTTATCGGAGGTTTGGTTAGAGCTGTTTTTCAGCATCAAATTCAGGGAGGTTACCTAGGGTCAGAAAAGATACAGAACCTGGGTAAAATATTTTGAGATAAAATTGGAATGAAGAATACAGACTGAGTCTTGCTTCATTATAAATTAAATCAATGTAAATGAAAAATAATATTTAGAGAGAACTTAGAGGGTATCTGGTAAATGAAATCACTGAGGCAAAAAAAAAAAGATTTAAATTCATTTTTTTTAAAAATTGACACATAAAACTTTTTGTCTTTATGGGGGATGTCATTTTAGGAGTTGCTGTTTTGATATTTATAGGTTGTTGTTGTTGTTGTTCTGTGCCGTGGACTCAGTTCTGACTCATAGTGACCCTGTAAAGGATTTCTGAGGCTGTAAATCTTTACAGGAGCAGAAAGCCTCATCTTTCTCCCGCAGGACAGCTGGTAGTTTCGAACTCTTGACCATGAGATTAGCAGCCCGATTCATAACTACTGTTTTCTTTAATATACAGAACAGGTCTTAACTGAAAAAGAAGCTACCACGAAAACCTCAAATGGCCTCCCAATAAAGGAGGTCTCATCACTTGAGACAAATGAAGGCCAGGTGTGTCAGCCGCAACATGATGTGCCATATTTTAGGTTTGTACATTTGTTCTTAGTTTAATAGTTTTGTATTGACGTCTAGAATTTTTTTAATAAAGGAAAATATTTTAAACATTAATATAGACTACATAGGGGAAAACTAACTTTGGGTGATTTTCATTTCTCTCTTAAATTTTAATTATTTTTTTAACAGTACATTCTAGTGTTTCCTAATTCAAAAGGTTAAGAAAAGGCATTCAAATGAAGATTCTCCTTCCCACCTCTGCCTACCAACCCTATAGTTTGAACCTTTCACAGAGATGATCAGTGTGAAACTTTGCAAACATAGGTAATGCATATGTAGGCAATAGAAGCATAATATTCTAAAATATGTAAAAAAATTTTATAATGCAGTTTATTATAGCATAATATTTTAAATATATTTAATATATATTTAGCTGAAAAAGGTATATATTATAATACTATCCTATTTTTATTTAATATTAAATATTGGAGACATTCGTTTTAGTGCTTTCTCATGTTGTTATATGTGTGTGTCTTTAATGGCCACATATCCACTGCCATCAAATCCATTGCAACTCACAGTAAGCCTTTATAGGGTTTCCGAGACTATAAAGCTTTACGGGAACAAACAGCCTGCTTATTTTCCCAAGGAGTGGCTGGTGGATTTGAACTGTCAACTTTGTGATTAGCAGTCCAATTTGTAACCCACTATGAGGACTCCTGGTGTGGCACTGTGGGTTAATGCGCCAGACTGCAAAGCCATTTGAACTGCAAGGTCGGCGGTTCAGGCTCACCAGCTGCTCCTCAGAAACCCTATACAGGGTCGCTATGGGTCGGAACCAACTCAAGAGTACTTCACAACAACAACAACACTACCAGGGCTCCTTAATGGCCGTGTTGTAACCAACTGTATGATTGTACCACTATTTATTTAACTAGTTCCCAGATGATGGGTTTTGGATTCAGTCTGTTGCTATTATAATCAGTACTGTAAATATTAGCGTTATACACTTTTAATTCTCTCATTTGCAAAAATATAACAACATCAAATTATACTTCCTCCTGCAAGGAATAAGAGTTCTTGATTTCTTCTGTCTTTCCAATGCTGTATTAACAATCTGATTTTTGAACTTTGCCAATTAAGTAGGTGATAAATATTATTTCACTGAGTTTTAAAGTTCCTTTGATCTACTGTGGTGGAGGTGTGCCATGGAGTCGGTTCCGACTGACCCTACGTAGGGTTTCCAAGGCTGTAAATCTTTATGGGTGCAGAAATCTTCATCTTTCTCCTGTGGAACCGCTGGTAGTTTTGAACTGCTGACCTTAAGGTTAGCAGGCCGACTCATAACCACTATGCTATCCGATGTCCTTTGACCTACTATGAGTATCTCTTTATATGTTTAAGAGCCATTTCAATTCTATTTTAATACATAGCTAGTTTTAGAGCTATAAAAGGGATATTAGATTTTAGTATTAAATTAAAAGTACCAAGTCTGCCAGAAGAACAAACAAATCTGTGTGGGAAAAGTACAACCAGAATGCTTCTTAGAAACCAAGATAGCCATACTTTGTCTCTCATACTTCAGACATGTTATCAAGGAGGGACTAGTCCCTAGAGAAGCATATCATGCTTGGTAAAGTAGAGGATCAGTGAAAAAGCGGAAGCCCCCCAGTGAGCTGAACTGGTACAGTGGCAGTAGCAATGGACTCAAGCATAGGTACGATTGTGAGGTTGGTGCAGGACTGGGCAGTGTTTTGTTCTGTTGTGCACGAGTCAGTCCTGACTCAGCAGCATCTAACAACATAGAGTTTACAAGCCTGTGACTCTTTACCAGAGCATAAAGATTAACTGGTGAGTTTGAACTGCCAACCTTGTGGTTAGCAGTCATGTGCTTATCTGTTCTAGATACTTCCAAAATGTCCTTTGGGGAGGACACAATTAGCTTCAATTTAGAACCAATGCGTTAGGTCAAACAAAGCCTGGGAATTAGAATCTGTAAGGCTCTATCACTGTGATCCCAGACTTAGTTTTCTGATTTAATTTACATTTGGCTTGTGGAATGGTTTTAGCTCTATGGGGCGGTAAAAGAGAATCTGATGTACATTAAGAAGCATGTAATTCTGCTATCTGTAACTCTCTTCAATCTCTGAAAAATGAGAATAAAACAAACAAAAATGTTAGTTTGTATAGTGGACTCTTGATAATATCTGAACCTTAAACTAAAAAATACCATGATGTCTTTAAAGCAAACAGTACCCACCCCCCACAGCCATTGCCCTCAAGTTGATTCCAACTCAGAGAGACCCAATAGAACAGAGTAGAACTGCTCCTTAGGGTTTCCAGAAACAGACAGCCTCATCTTTCTCCCATGGAGCAGCTGGTGGATTGGATTTCCAGCCTTGCAGTTAATAATCTAATGTTTAACCTGTTTGTCACCAGGGCTCCAAAATAAACAATATTGTTGTTGTTGAATGTTGTCACATTCGTTGCGATTCATAGAGACCCTATATCAGGTTTCTAAGGAGTGGCTGGTGAGCTTGAGCTGCCAACCTTGCAGTTCAAACCAACCTTGTCCAGTGCACTAACCCGTAGTGCCTCACAATACTTTAGCTTAATTTAGTAAAGAATGTCTGCCTTGAGAAAGAACTGTATGTAGCATCCAATTGACAACAGCCATTCAAAAGATTAGACAGAAAACTTAGAGGACAATGAGTTTATGTTAATGTGGAGGAATAACTTGCAGAATGTAATCAGTGTCACTGAACTGTACAAGTTAAATTAGTATATGTACAATTATATGTGTATTCTGGAGCATAGTGGCTGTGTAGAATATACATTGGATTGCGAACCACAAAGTTGGCCTGCTCCGTGGCTTTGTGCTCCCACAAAAGTTTACAGCCTCGGGAACCCTAGACAGGGTCACTGTTAGCCAGAACCAACTCAACAGCACTAACCAATAACAGTGTAGATTCTATGTATAAAAGTGCTGTTTATATTCTAAGTGACTGCTTAATAAAATAAATTTTAAAAAAAGGGGGGGACAGGGGGACTCTTATCCATATCTACTCACCTATATTTTAGGTATAGACGGGTAGACTTATACAAGGGTGCTTCACGAAGTTTGTGGAAAAATGAAAGATAACAGATTTTTTTTCCCACAGACTTTTTGAAACACTCTTGTATAGTGTATTAAATTGTGCTTATGGATTTTAATAAATCATGAAATATTTAAACATCAACTCTGAGAAGTGACTATTATGCATACCTACCTTTTATACTGTAATATTGTACAGGAAGCCTTGATGTGATGCCGTAGGATAAGCACTCGACCTCAAGGTCAGTTTGAAACACAAGGTTCAAATATTGTGTATAGGGAGTATGGTGGTTCCATAGGATAAACACTGGAATGCAAATCACAAGGTCAGTGGTTCGAGTCCACCAGCCACTCTGTGCGAAAGATAAGGTTTTCTTCTCCCTCAAAGATTTAAAGCCATGGAAACTTTATAGAGGGTTGCTATGAGTTGGAACTGACTCTATGGCACTTAGCAGCAGCAATATTATGTATAAGTGTCATTATACTAATATACATATATTTTAGTATGAAAAACATTTATAAAGTTGAAATGTATGTCATAATTGTAGAAATATTCTCCAGTCAGAAACTGAAAAATTAACTTCACACTGTGTTGAGTGGGACAAGAAGATTGAATTGGACATTCCAGATGATGGTGAGGGAACATTTATGTTTTTTGATGTCTTTCCTTTGTTTCTGTTAATATTGTTACCTTGTAAAAACAAGTTGCTCAACTTTTAATTTTTAATTATCTGAAATAGCAAGAAATTTCATATCTCAACATATTTCCTAATATTTCTGTACTAAAACTGGTATATCATTTTGAAAATATAACTAATTAAAATATTGGCTGGCATTACTATAAATTAGATGTATTCATTCCTGTTTTTATTTCAGTTTTTTGTTCTTAATGACTTTCTGGGTGGCATCAATACTTTTTACTTTTATATATTTCAACAATACAATGGAAATTTTCTAAATCATCATGGGAAAGAATTTCTGAAAAGTTTCATAATGTCACTTAATTGAGGACGCTGTTTAGAAAAAAACTCTTTGTGTGCTGTGAGTCTGAACACCGTAGATACCGATGTGTAGTGATTTGTTTAAGGTTGAATTCTTGTAATAGTTAAAAGTGTAAACAGGTAGAATGCTGTTTACTGTGTAGCAATATGTATGAGAAGAGTGAATATTGATAATTTTTTTGTTAATTACCAATGAAATAAGTTAATTAGATCGTTAATGCTCAGTATTTGTATGACAAAGTTTTGTTGTGAGTTTGTTTTGTTTTTGCTGTGAGGTAAGAATTTGAGGTAAGACTTTTGGATATTTGAAATTAAGGTCTTATTAGTTGCTTGACTTGCAACGAAGGTCATGCGTTGTCATCCAACTCTGTCCTTTAGCTAAAGATCTTATTCGCACAACAATTGGTCAAACAAGACTTCTTATGAAGGAAAGGTTCAAGCAGTTTGAAGGACTTGTGGATGATTGTGAATATAAACGAGGCGAAAAAGAGACTACCTGTACAGATCTGGATGGATTTTGGGATATGGTTAGTTTTCAGGTATGTGCTCAAATATCTTAAAGATACTAAGTTATAAGGTTTTTGTTGTTGTTTTTCAGTTCGTTAACTATAATAAAAATAAAAGTAGTTCCTCATTCGTATTGTTGTGTTAAGTGCCGGTGAGTCAGTTCCAACTCAGAGTGACACTGTATAAGGTTTTCAAGGAGCAACTGGTGGATTTGAATCGCCGACCTTATGGTTGGCAGTCCAGTACTTACCCTACAGGGACACACTAGAATTCCTTAATAAACTCTACATCTTAAGACTTGATGTTTCCTCCCTCCCTGTTGTCAGGATAATTTTTGTAAGTGTGAGGAGTAGAGATTGTATTTAGTAGTTGAGTAGTTGAAAACCTACTCTACACATGAGAGAATGAGTAAATTGAGTGTTTAGTAGTTAAGTTCAACTAATAGTTATTGAGTTCCTACTGTGGGAGTTCTGTGTGCCCAGCATTGTACTATTGTTGGTAAGTTGGTTCTGACTCTAGTACTCTTGTTAAGTACTGTTGAGTTGGTTCCAATTCATAGTGACCCTGTGTAGGGTTTCTGAAGCATGACTCTTGGGTTTGAACCACCAACCTTTCAAGTTGTAGTCCAGTGCTTTTTCTGTAGTGCCACACCAGCACTCCAAGTATTGTAGTGGTCATGGTGTTGCTAATGCTGCATGCTGTCAAGTAGGTTCTGACTCACTGAGATCACAGGGCTCCAGATGCTATGAAGTGTACAGGAGCAGAAAGACTCATCTTTCTCCTGCAGAACGGCTGGTGAATTCAAACTGCTTCAGAACCCACTGCGATACCAGGGCTCCTTGTACTAGGAGTTGGTAAATATGACACTGTCTCTGAGGAATTGGTAGTTTGGCTGGAATAAAAATCCAGTTTCATGTAGAAAACTCTAAAATAAATAGAAGCACGGTAAGGGTCAGTAGAAGTATGGGAGATGACACTATTTCTGCTTTTAAAGTTCATTCTAGACATAAGCATATCATTTCAATTAAAATCGCCAACAATCACTAGGCTTTTGAAGAAAACTTAAAACCTGAAATAAAGAGGCCAAAGGAAACATACAGGAAAGAAATTTGGATGAATGAAATGGGGATAATACATGGAGAAAAGAACTTTTAAAAGCAAGTTTTCATAATAGCCACTAGGTAGAAATAACACAAGTAACCTTCAAGAAATAATCAAAATGTGCTACATAAATACAATGGAGTATTATTCAGCCATGAAGAAGAATGGAATTCTGATACATGCTTTGACATGGTTAAACTTTTAAAAGCATTGTGCTGAAGTGAAGTAAGTTAGGATAACTAGTGTATTTTCCTGCTTATATGAAATGTCTAGACTAGGCAGATGCACAGAGATCAAGGTAATTGGTCTTTTACCAAGGTGGGTTAATGCACTGGACTGCAATGACAGTTTGAATCTCAAGGTTGGTGGTTCAAACTCACCAACCACTACTCGGAAACCCTATACGGGTTCATTATGGGACGGAACTGACTCCATGGCACTTAACCACAACAATAACAAGGAAGAGGAGGAAATGGAAGTTACTGGTGAAGGGGTATCGGACTTTTCTTCATTTGGAAATGGACATTAAAGAAATTAATGTCCTGACTTGTATACTTAAAATGTGTTAAAATGGCAAACTTTCTAGTATATATATTTTGCCACAGTAAAATTTCAAAGTTAAATATTAGTATTCTCAGATATCAGACCATTTCATCTATTAATTTATTTTTTATTTTTTATAATCAGAAAACAGCAAAAATAGGTCTTGGGAGTTTACAATTAGAGCAGAAATGTAATGTTCAACTGAAAAGTACACGACGTAGTTAAGGAAGGGTCCCATAACTCAAAGCAAAAAGAGAAAAGGAAAGAGTAGGTTCAAAAATGAACTGAGCCAGTCCAAGAAGTGTAATCTCCAAATAATAGGAATTCTAGAAAAAAATAACAAGTAAAATGTTAGGTGCCATCAGGTTGACACCAACTCATAGCGAGCCTGTACACAGCAGAATGACACACTACCCAGTCCTGGGCCAACCTCACAATCGTTACTGCTGAGCCCATTGCTGCTGCTACTGTGCCTGTCCATCTCTTTGGGGGGTCTTCCTCTTTTTCTCTGACCCTCAACTCTACCAAACACGATATCATTATCCAGGGACTGTCCTTCCTGACAATATGTCCAAAGTATGAGACATGAAATCTGGCCATCTTGGCTTCCAAGGAGCACTATGGCTATACTTCTTTTTACAGATCTTGTTCTGTATTCCACAACTGCCTCTTGGTATATGTACAGGTTCCTCATGAGCACAATTAAGTGTTCTGAATACTCATTCTTCACAATGTAGTCCATAGCTTGTCATGATCCACAACAATCGAGAAAGCCTTTGTGAAAGCTAAGATATTGGGGAGAACATGGTCAATAAAATGGTTTAAAAAATTTGCCCCAAAACTTGAAGGCATGAATTCCAGATTGTGGACTTATTTAATAGACTCAAACCAAGGCACATCATGAACTTCAATTGCACAAATCTTGACGTGGAAAGACCTAAAAGCTTCCAGAGAGAGAACATGTTTCATGCAAAGGATCAAGAATCCAGAGAATGTTGGATTTAGCAGCGACATTGAAAGTTGGGAAAACAATGTGCTCAAAATTCTCAGGTGAAAAAATAGTCAAGCTCAAACTCGATACCCAACCAGTCAAGTATGAAAGTAGAAGGACACTTCTCAGACATACCAGGATATCAAAATGTACCTCTTATGTAATCTTTCTCAGGTTTTTGACATTGTGTCTTACAAAAATGAGGGAATAAGCCAAGAAAGAATGAATAAGAAACAATAGGCCTAGAAAGAGACCAACAAACATTAACCATGTGAGTGAAGGAGGAGTCAAAAACAATAGCTGTGTCTTAGGATCAGGATTAGTTGAGGTTGGAGTAGGATACTTGAGGGCCCTGGAAGAAGTGTCTCTGTGAAACTGAACTGGGTGTATGTAATACTTGATATGTTTCTATTATTACTAGGCGATTCATACCACTGTGCAGATTTTGGATTTGAATTGATAGAAAGAAAGCAAAAACAATGATTAAATCTAGGGAAAAAGCTGAGAAAGAAAAAGTAATCTTAGTAACCATAAAGCTCAGATATGACTGATGTCTGTATGGTCACAATAATCTAAGTGTTAACATTATCATCAGTTTTTGTATATTTGCCAGTTTTTGTATTAACACATTGGTTGAGTAGCATCTTTCAACAGTGAGCAGTTAAGTCTTTGCTTTTCATGTTCATTTCCTGGTGTTGGCCAGCGGGAGCTTCTTAAAATTGGTTTCTAAGGCCTTTTTTTTTTAATGTTTTATTGTGAATTATATGATAGTTTACATGGGAGAACTTTAGTTTTACATTCATTCCATCATGTATCATCTCACTGCCATGGTTCCAATGCCCTCCATGCATCCTCAACCACCCAAAGGGTATATCCCAGAAACCCGCCCCCTACACTTCTCCCTCCTCCCCCCAGTTTTCGGCCCACAGTCCCTTTCCCTCTCTGGGTCCAAGGTCCCCAGTCGCTTCATCACTCCACATCATCATCTCTGTCTCCATCTCAGGCATCTCTGTTTCTCTGGGTAGGGTCCCGCTCTCGGCTCTTCTCCGTTGATGGTCCCAGAGGCCTCCGCTCCTATCCTGGAGAATCAATCACTCCCTTCCTTGTTACAAAACTTCTACCTTTGCATTTCCAACTCTCATAATCCGTCCTGATAAGCATTATTCACTACAGTATCACAAGTTACCCATCTGTATCTCCTTTCATCAGCTCCGCCCAGACAGATTGAATGGTACCTTCTGGAGATTCTGTCTAAGGCCTTTTTTTACCCAAAGAAATTTACTGAGATATAATTTATATATCATAAAATTCACCTGTTTTAAGTGTACAATTTTCAGTACATTTACAGAGCTGTGCAACTGTCATCAGAATCTAATTTTGTATTGAAGTCAGTCCCCATTCCCATCACACCCCAAGCCATCACAAATCTGTTTATTGTCTCTGTAGGTTGTCTTTTCTGGACATACATAAGTAGAATCATGTGCTTTGTTGGCTTTTGCATTTATGGCTTTTGTTCACTTAGCATGATGTTTTCGAGGTTCACCCATAGTGTTCCGTTTGTCCCTATTCGATCCATTTAAAATTGCTGAATAGAATTTCATTAATCAGTTCATGCATATTTGGATTATTCTCTTTTATCCTGAGTCCTTTTGACATTTACATTTTTTTTAAGAAAGTGTGTGTGTGTGTGTGTGTGTGTGTGTGTGTGTGTATGTATCTATATCTATCTATCTATCTATATACATACATACACACACATATATGTAAGATGTACATATGTATATAACAATACGTATGTATGTTTTGTTTTGTGTGCCCTCGAGTTAGTGCCAACTTGTAGCTATCCTATAGGACAGGGTAGAACTGTCCAAGAGAATTAACTAGGCTATAATTTTATGGTTGGCACAATAGGATAAGCATTGTACTGGTAACTGTAAGATTAGCAACAGAGTTGCTATGAATTGGAACCAACTGGATGGCACACAACAACAACAATCTCTATGAGAACAAACAGATCTTTTGTCTTATGGAGCCACAGGAGATTCAGAACCTCTGTCTTTCTGTTAGCAACCGAGTGCTTAAGCATTGTGCCACCAGGGCTCAAAAGCATGCTAACCGAACTACTGACAATGGTTAATTCTTTGGAGGAAACTCAAAATGGTAAAAAAGGTACTAAGGGTTATCAGTCATTCCCATCCTGCTACGTATCTAAGTATATTGTCTGAATCTTTTAAAACAAGATTGTGTTTACATTGTGTAAGTTAGATGGGGGGGAAGCAGTTATGATATTTCTATTACCATTTTAGGAATCAAACATAATTTAGGAGAGTTACATATATAGATACAGATTTTAAGACCAAAAACAACAATGAACAATTTTACCATAAAGATTGATTTGAGGGGGACCTACAGCAAAATGGCAGGTTAAGCAGATGGCGTTACACTGACCTGCAACAACAAAGATCCGAGAGACAAAACAGATACAGATGAAAATTCTGGCACCCTGAACTTCAGGAGCAGGGTTACAAAGGTGGATGGAGTGATTGCTGGGAGGAGAGACTGAGCAGGGACAGCAAGAAGGATACTGACTGGGGAATGGCTGGCCAGATGCAACTTGACCATCTTGTGAGCAGCTTTGGCAGTGGAGGGAGACTTTGCCGGGCAGAGTCACACGGGCAACAAAAATGGTGCGATCTTATCTTTTTCCCCACAGTTCCCTAGTGCAAGAAGTGTGGCCATCTCCCACCCTTATGCACCCCCAGTGCAGACCTTGCTCTTGGAGGAGTTCGGAGCCACATGTTTGGGATCCATACCAGTGTGAGGTGTGGGACAGTGGCACCACTGTGGTATACCAATTTGGTGTCTGGATCCAGGTGGGCTTCATCTCTAGACCTACAAAAATTTCTGAGCCAGACCAACATTTAACCAGTCCCACTGCCCCCAGCTTCTCTGTGGTCTTAATGGACACTGAAACCAGCTCCATCAAGGGTTCCCATGAACGACTTCCGGATTGAGTGCCCTGAACATAGATAACACTGAGGCCACTAAGAACTCATCGAGGGGCAGGAACTCTGCTGTCACATCCCTTCTACAACCACCTTGTGAGTGCCTTGAATCACAGGAACATCAGAGAGATTTCTCCCCTTCAGGTCCAACAACTAAGCTGTTTGTTTTTACAAATAAGACAACTCCACGGTGCCCTACATACAGATAACAGATAATTTTAGCTGATACAAAAAAATGAGAGAATGACTCAAACAAATGACCAAGATGCAGACAGAAAACATTTGTGAGGAAGAAAAGGCAATGTAACTAACTGAAAAAGAATTGAAAAGAATGATAATTAGGTACTGTCAAAGGATCCATAGAAAAAGTAAAGCAAGGAGAAAAATATAAAAACTTTAGAAGAATTCAGGAAAACACTACAAGAACAAAAGACAAAAGAAATGCAAATTTTGAAACATTACAAAACAGCGATTAGAAATCCAGAAGATTAATACTAAGCTCTCAGAAATGGACAATACATTGAAAGGACAAAGGAGTAGATGTGAAACATTGGAAGTCTGAAACTAGTGAGCTTGAAGATAAATCTCGCAATACTTGCATGCTAGAAGAACAATCAGAAAAAAGTTAAAAAAAAAAAAAAAAAGAAAGTGTAAGAGTTACATGTTACTGTTGTTAAGTGCCATGGAGTCAATTCTGACTCATAGCTACCCTGTATAAGGTTCTAAAGAGCTGCTGGTGGGCTTGAACTGCCGACCTTGAGGTTTGCATTCCAGTGCTAATCCAACAGTACCACACTAGGAGTCCACAAAAGAATTATGTGGGACACCATAAAGGAGGAACAAACTTACAGGTGATCAAAATTCCAGAACAGGAAAACACAATAAAAAGCAGAGAAAATTGTTGGAGTTGTTGGAAGAAAACCTCCCTAACATCATGAAAGACAAAAAGATAAGCATGCAAGAAGCTGAACAAACCAAGACATACCACAATCAGACATTAAGAATCCTCAGGGAAAACTAAAAGTCGTTTATAAAAGAGAAGTATAAGACTAAGTTCTGATTTCTCAGCAGAAACCATGCCCAGCAAAGCAGTCCCTGAAATATGACGGCAAAATGTGAACATTTCCTGATAAACAGAAATTATAAAAGAATTTTTAAGACCAGACCAACTTTACAAAAAATGCTAAAGGAGGCTTTGGACTGAGATCAGATAAAAGCAGACAATTTGAGATTATCATACATGACAACACCACCCAGAACTCAATGCAGATACTGAGAAAGTAAAACAAACGTACAAGACAGAAAATAGGGAACCAGAGACATCAATGTATAGTGAAGTCAACTAATAAGCAAAAAGAGGAAATAGTGTAGATACAGAATTTTCAAATGGCAAAAAAGTCAAGTAGATTACAAGATAAAACAGACTATTTTAAACAGGAAAAAATTAATACAGGTAACCTCAAAGGAAAATAATATACCTGTACATCAAAATAAAAAAAGGAAAATCAGAAAGATTTCATAAACCTTAACACAACAAATGAAAATAAAAAGAAAACCCTCTAACAAAATGAACTCGGCATAGAAAATTATATGAAACAAAGAATCCAGCTATACCATGAAAAAAGCACACAGAAAAATTACAACAATTTACAACAATCAATTTATACCTATTGATACTTAACCACTCAATGTAAATGGATTAAATACACCAGTCAAGAGACATAAACAGCAGAAAATAAGAAAATAGGATCCTTTAATATGCTGTATACAAGAGATATATCAAAAAGATGGAGACAGTCTAAGTACCCATTAACAGAAGAATGCTTAAACTTTGGTACATATGCACCATGGAATACTACAGAACGTTGGAGAATATTGATAAAAATGTGAAACACTTCACAACAGGATTGAATCTGAAGGATATTGTGCTGAGTAAAATTGTTAAGTGCTGTCAACCCATATAGCGACCTTATGTAGGGTTCCCAAGGAGCGGCTGGTAAGCTTGAACTGCCAACCTTGCAGTTCAGACCGACTTTGCAGTCCAGCACATTAACCCGCAGTGTCACACAAATGAAATTAGTCACAAAAGGGCAAGTATGTATAAGACCAATGTTGTAAAAAGTTAAAAAGGTTTCTTGATAAAAGAAATAGTCTATGGTGGCTATGATTTGGAACATACTTGGTGGCACTTAACAACAAAATGATGCTATGGAGGCATGGGGGTGGGAGGAAGGGACAAATTTTCAAGGGTTAGAGGGTTGTGGTTGTTAAGTGCCAAGGAGTCAATTCTGACTCATAGCGACCCTGTACAGGGCTAGAGGGTAGACACATGTTAAGGTGGGTGACAGAGTGAGCAATATATACTGAGGGAATTTAGCAGAAGAAAGGTAAGGGTAGTGGGAGATGCAGGGAGGGAAGTGAATAAAGGTAAATGCTTTTAACCATTGGTGGTGGTGCTTATGTGCCATTGAGTCAGTTCTGACTCACAGCGACCCTGTACAGGATTTCAAAGGTTGTAAATCTTCGGGAGCAGAAAGCATCATCTTTCTCCTGCAGGACAGCTGGTAGTTTCAAGCTGCTGACCTTGTGTCCACAGCCCAATTCTCGTAACTGCTACGCTACTGTAACCATGTAATGAAAAAAAGTGTAAGATTTGTTGAATGTACAACTGATTATCTGCTAAGTAAACATTCATTCAATTTATAACACAAAGTTTTAAAAAACAATTTAAAGTTTTGAATCTTGAGAATAATTAATCTAATTTTATCTGTTACCATCACAGTTTTTTTTTTTTGAGGCTTCACTTCATTAGTTTGCAACTTAATATGGTTAGCATTAATCTAATAAATTTGTATCTTATTTATTAATAGATAGATGATGTAAACCAAAAATTCAACAATCTAAGGAAACTTGAGGAATCTGAGTGGCAACACCGTAATACAAGCAAAAAAGTTGTTCGGGTAAGTTTGTGGCCTTCACATCCAAATTTCTATTAAGGATTTTTTAAATTAGTTTTTATTAAATTTAAATACAATTAGCTTCTTTTTTCATCATTTTACAAAGCAATTTCCATTTAAACTGTACTCTTACATTTTGTTGAAATAGTAATAATAGGTAATTTATATAGTGCTTAGTATATTCCACATATTATTCCAAGTACGTTACATGTAGTACTTCATTTAATCCTCACAACACTTCTTTCACACTTGAGGTATCTGAGGCCCAAAAAGATTAATTTACTTGTGCACGTGGAGCTGGGTTTCAGGATAGGCCTTCTCTTTTCAGAATCCATCTTTACTATTAGGCTATGCTGTCTCTGTTACATGATATTACATGATATTACAGGGGAAATTTAAGAAGTTCATAGAAAAATTCCATTTTCTTTTCATCCCATTTTTATTTTTTCACAAACTTTTGAAGCTCCTTTGTGTTTTAAAATGAACAAAATTTTAAATAGAAAAGAGGAACAAGGGCTTTTTAGAATATCTGTCTTCTCTGCTGTATTTCATTTTCAAAATTCCCTACTTTCCTTCAAGAAGCCCTGGTAGCGTAGTGGGTTACACACTGGACTGCTAACCCTAAGATCAGTAGTTCAAATCTACTAGCCGCTTGGTGAGTGAAAAATGAGACTTTCTGCTCCCATAAAGATTCATATCCTCGGAACCCCTACACAGGGTTGCTATGAGTCAGAACTGACTCCACAGCACACCACCACCATTACTTTCCCCCATAAAATTTGCTTAGTTTACATTAATCATTCAGTGTTTACCTATTTCTAATACTTTTTTCTTCTTCTAGTAATGTTTTCAACTCAGATTTTGGTTCAGATGAATACTTCTCAAACTACTTCAGAGCAATATAACTTTTCCTTTGTGATTTTAGAACAATGATTGTGCTTATACAGTTAGGTTTTCTAGATTGGTACTTTATTTTGCCCTACAGTACAATTAACAACTATCCCCCCAAATTTTACTAATGAAGAACCATTTATGACAGGACTCAACATGCAGTGACTAAATTAATTGAGTGGCTCTCACATCCATTAAACTGGAAAGGATGCTGGAGTTTTTTAAGTTACTGAGGGGATCACTTGTTAAGTGCTTGTCCTGGAAATATCAGTGATGCAAATAACACTGGTTTCAGTATAGCATTATACCAGAGTCTTGTAGTTTTGCCTTTTATCACCAGATGTCTCTCTCCTCCTACTTTATTTTATGGCTTCCTATTAAGATTACCAAACAAATAAAATAAAGCTCATCTTTTTCTGTATGTTTTGTATAATCACCTCCTGTACATCTTCATTGACCTTATTCTGTCAATTTCCTTGTTTTCTCCATTCCCCCTTTTAAAACTTGTCTTTCTTTACATCTACTCCACCCTTTCCTGCCTCTTTCTTCCCAATGATCCCTGATAAAGTTGTCTATCTTTACATCTATTCCACCCTTTCCTGCCTCTTTCTTCCCAATGATACCTGATAAAGTTGTCTATCTTTAACATTTTGGTTTGACTTTTGGTTTGGTTGTATCGAACTCAGTACAATTTAGCTTGATCTCTCTTTTATCAAAGTTATCACCAAGATTATTGATCCAGTAGATGCAGAAGTCAATTGTTGTTGTTAAGTTTCTGACGCATAGCATCCCTGTATAGGGTTTCCACTTGGATCGGTGGTGAGATAGAACCTCCCACCTTGCAGTTCAAACCAACCTCGTGGTCAAGTACTTATCCTACAGCACCTCCCAGGACTTTGTAGTGAAGTCAGTGTTGTTGGCGTCAAGTGCCATCTAGTAAATTCCGACCCATAGCGACCCTGTATAGGGTTTCCAAGGGGCAGCCGGTAAGTGTGAACTGCCGACCTTGCAGTTCAAACAACTTTGCAGTCTGACTCATTAACCCACAGTGCCACACTTACATATAAAACCTAATCCTCCCTCCTTGGCGTCCTGGTGTGGTGCTATAGGATTAGCTTTGGACTGCTAACTGCAAGGTCAGCAGTTCAAATTTAGAAGCTGTTGCTTGGAAACCCTATACAGGGTTACTATGAGTTGGAATCGACTTGACATCAATTAACAATAATTCTGTATGTCTTAATTTGTTGTTTTTAAGTGCCATCAGGAGTCCTGGTATGGCACTGTAGGATTAGCACTTGACCACAAGGTTGGTTGGAACCACAAGGTTGACGCCTTCTCTACGGCTTCTCTCACTTCTGGCTTTTCCAGTGTTCTCTTCTCTCTAACCAGCCAGTAACCCTTGCCTTTCCTCATTCCATCTTTTAATCTAACTGTGGTTTCAGCATAGATGCTACTTCCTCGAAGTCTTGTTGAGCCTCTGAAGATTGATCTAGGTGCCATCACTGAACCCCCCACAGTCCTCTGCATTTCTCTCAGTTTGACATGAATCCTATTTACTCTACTTGGCTGGCTTCTCCTTAAGGTAGCACCTTTGATTTTTGCCTTTTTATCCCTAGCATTTGGAGCACATGCTAGGAGCTTCATAAAGGATTGGTGGATGTGTGAAATATTTTATGTCTGCTTTGTTTTTCTTATAGGGCAGTAGTGAGCAGCCCTAATAAGTGTCATAATTTTTCTTTGCAGAAAAAAGTTGTGTCAAGTACAGCCAGTAAACCAAAACAGGATGATGATGGAAGACTTGCAGCTAGGAATCGCCTGGCTGCCATAAAAAATGCGATGAGAGAAAGACTTAAGCAGGACCAACAAGCTGAGGCCGCAGTCTCTGTAGTACCAAAGGAAGTTGATACAATAGTATTTGATGCTGGATTTTTCAGAATTGAGAGTCCAGTGAAATCATTCTCAGGTTAGTTTTCATGCTGACACTTTTTTTTTTTTT